GGGTGATTGTGGAGCAATTGGTGGAATAAAGGTTGGCAGGGGAAACCGAAGTACTCGGAGAAAACCTGCCCAGCGTCACTTTGTCCACAACAAATCCCACTTGACCAGACGCGGGATCGAACCCGGGCCGCCGCGGTGAGAAGCCAGTGACTAACGGCTTGAGCTATGGCGCGGCCTAAGAGAGGACTTATGGTTGGAGCAAGAGTTCAGACGGTAGGGACGTACTCGTAAGCGGACAGTGTTAAAATCTGATACCAGGAAATGTGTGGTGAAGAGAGAGAAGACTTTATGTATGCTGTAGTTACACAGTCCTATGAGACTTTTATAGTTACTTGTACTTCCGATCTGTAAATGGTCAATAAATCCAATATCCAATCCAAACCCCGTCGAGAGCCACTCAAAATCGTAACAATATTGTATTAGTGTCGTTGTTTAGTTAGTAAAAGACTGTTGTTTTCTGAGATATGCCGTGAAGTCTGGTAGATTGTTATTGTCATCAGTATTTTCAGATGGAAGTGGAAAGTTCCCCTGAAGCGCTTGTTACAATCGACCAGACTTCACGGAGTCATTTCGCGGAAGAATATCTTAATGCACGTATTCCCACTGTGGCAACCTCAAACTATGTCCTCTAGTTAACCGGCTGTAAACATTAAGAGATAGCGATTCTTTAGCACGACACGTAGAGAAGGCGTGATAGACGTAATTGTGTGGTCAGCAAACAGTATTATGTTACAACGCGTAGTCTCTGTACTACCCCTACTTTCAGGGAAGACGCAAACCAAGTAACACAGAAGGTGGCGGTAATATATTTCTCTGAAACGTCTGTAAATATCTATCAGATTATACGGTTCAGTACATAAGTAGGCAATACACTTTATAGTTACTGGAGAGAGAACTGAAGTCTAAAAGGAATTTCCATATGAGAAAGAACACATCACATATTCTCTTTCTGGGTTTCTGTACACAGAGCAAAAACATACAAATTCCGATGAAGAAATGCGATAGAATGGCGAGTCACTGGACTAGTATTAACGGATTCTCACGTACATTTTGAAATGACCGCTGAAGTACCGTTGTTCTGCAGAGGTTGTCCGTTAAAGAGTTAACCTCGCCCAAAGCTAGACATTTCCGTGGATTGATTCGGATCAGCGTGCCGAGTTGTGGCGCGTAGTTATAGAGGGACTGGGGTGGCACACAGCATTTTAGTGGATCAAAAACTATAATCTTAAACAAAATTTCCCTCCTTTCTCGCGTCCTAGGGAAAGTTTGTTCTATGTAAATTCGCTTAAGGGGGTGGAGTCCAGCTGGGTCCACTCTGCACGGCGGCCACTGGTTGGCCTATTGTACCTGCCCAGGGTGATAATGATGGATAATTTGGTGGAATGAAGATTGGCAGGGGAAACCGAAGTACTCGGAGAAAATCCGCCCCAGCGCCACTTTGTCCACCACAAATCCCACTTGACCAGACCCGGGACCGAACCCTGGCCGCCGCGGTGGGAAGCCAGCGACTAACCGCTTGAGCAACGGTGCGGCCTTCTATGTCAATGGTTCAAAAACTTTTAACATGATTCCCCTCTTTTATTTTTCACAAAATTCTCATGCTCCTCCTTACAAGTTTTACTGAAATAAATCTAACCTTTTGTGCTTACACTTTTTTTCCCTCTTGGCACTACAGCTCCAGTGGGCCTAGGCCTACCTCCATGAACTTCTCCGGTCACTTACACTTACACATACGGTAGGACTCTTTGGGTGGGTGATCAGCCCATCGCAAGGCCTCTACCTGTACACAAACACAGAAAAACGCACACAAACATCCATACCCTGAGTGGGATTCGAACCCACGATCCCGGCTTCCGAGCGAGCTAAGACAGTGCATGCCTTAGACCGCTCGGCTACCGTGACCGGCTTATGCTTACACTTATAATAGTATTTACCATGTACTAACTAGTAATTAGCACCTTACCAAAACTATGAATAAAAATTTATATTTTAAAAATGAAAATCCTGCACGGTGCTCTTTATTTTCCGATGAGTAATGGCGACAAATTCTGAAATTTAATTGCTTCATTTTTTATATATTTGGATTATCAATTCAGGTGGGTGCTTGTGTTAGATACGGTTAATTACAACTAAATAGAATAACTTTAACTCAATTTTTTATTAAGAAGTGATTTTTCTCATGACTTTACATCATGAGGTCGGGGTAACTTCGTAGGTTGCTAACTGCTGAACCATGTTTTAAGGGCTTTATGGACAAAATAGTGGAATGTTCTTATTCATTTAGGACCACAATACCAAATTTTATAACGAACTACAAGATATACATGAGAAGGGAAGAGAATACAACTTATTAAAACTTACAAAATTGTTAAATATTTGTTTTAATATTAAACAATATATTGTAAAAACAGGAATACAAAGAAAAATATTTAAGTTTAAACATACTCATAATTATTAACGAGTGATCAAAAGTAATACAACTGTTTAAATTCTTATTCTCAAATTACCGTGAGTAGCATTTTGTACACTCTCTACTTCCTTGTGCTTTCTTCATGACATATTTTCTAAAACCAGTTCTATTTCCATCATCAGGTCCGTCCAGTGATACAGACTAGCCCTTTCTAAGGGGTTTCAGTAAAAAAATCCATCCTTCGCAGCTCGCAACGGAAGATATCCTGTTCTCAAATGATGTGTTGAAGAAACACACGGTGGTCGACAATGTCTAAAATATTAGTCATGGAATTTTTAAGCACCGTCGTCAGAAAATTTGAACATCCCAGTTCCTATTTAACACGAGGGTTGGCACTGCTGTCTTTTATTGTTACTATATACCGGGTGTCCGGATGAAAGGTATCCAAAATAAAGAAAACTATATCTCGGAAACTTACTTGTCAAATATATATCCAGTTTATGTCATCGGAAAGGAAAACTCTCAAAATTTCTTTTCACATGGCCCGCTAACGCGTATGCGCCACCAAATTTCTGCCACCATGTTAGGAATCACCTGGACAAAGAGATGGCTGGGAGATGGATCGGCAGAGGTGGGCCAATTGCTTGGCCTCCAGGTCGCCAGATTTAACCCCATCGAATTTTTTCTTGCGGGTTATGTGAAGAACATTGTCTAAACAACTGAAAGCCCGTACAAGAGACGTTGTGGCTACGGTAACACCAAACATTCTTCAAGCATCGTGGAACGAAGTTGAATATCGTCTGGATATTTGTCGTGCCGCCAAGGAAGCCCACATTGAAACTTATTAAGAAAGTCATATACTCAGAAAAGAAATTCGACAGTTTCCCTTTGTAATGGCTAACCTATAAATGTGTATAATACATGCTTTCTGAGATATGATTATTTTATTTAGGATACCTTTCACCCGGACAACTTGTATGGCCATACTTACCAATAAATTTGTCTTAAAAGCACTTAAACTGGAACCTCATAACCTCTCCCCCTCAGGCCGGGCCATAGCTCAAGCTGTTAGACGCTGGCTTCCCACCGCGGCGGCCCGGGTTCGATCCCGGGTCTGATCAAGTGGGATTTGTGGTGGACAAAGTGGCGCTGGGGCAGGTTATCTCAGAGTCCTTCGGCTTCCCCTGCCAATCTTCATTCCACCAATGGCTCCACAATCACCGTCACCTATCATCTGGGGCTGGTACAATAGGCCAGAAGTGGCCGCGGTACAAGGGACTTAGTCCCACCCCACTAGCAATAAAAAGCAAACCCTCCCCCTCCCATATAGGAGCCGGGATAACGCAGTTGGTATAGCGACTGGCTAAGGGCTGGACGACTGAAGGCTCGGAGTTCGAGTACCGGTAGGGTCAATAATTTTTTCTTCTTCATGTTGTCGAGACCGATTCTTGGGTCCACCAACCTCCTATCCAATGGGTACCGTGGGCTCATTCTTCTGGGGTAAAGCGGTAGGGGCATGAAGTTGACCGCTCAACTCCAACTAGCTCACAGGTCAAGAAAACTTAGATCTATACATCCGCTACCCGCTACGCCTTCATGGCGCAGTGCTTAACTTTTAAGCACAGGGACAACTTTATATTATATATTTGTAATTTTCTTTTAATGAGTATACGAGTAATTACGGTGAACAAAGAAACCTCAATATTCAGTATTAGTTTATATTTCTTTTTTTTCTCGGCAATGAGAGTACACACTAGAAGGGAAAGAGTCATCGCAGTCTTTCTTAATCACCAAGTTTTTCTAAAACATCGCACTTCCAGAATTACAGAACATCACTTCCCCTTCTTTTCTTATATGTTACTTGCAGAGATGTTCCTATGTCATTTATAATTCCTTCAACTGATCGGCCCTCTTACGTGTACAAGGGACAGTTTTACAGTCTTCTTTTCACGGCGGTGACTAAAGAGTGTTATCATCTGAGTTGGAACTCTGTGTAGCCTGGTGCTTCACACAATATAGTACTCCGTGGTTTTAGTCCGAAAGAGAACTATACCTACCGAGCGACCGCCGCTTTTCGGCGAAGTTAGTGCCAACCTATTTATACAATCTTGCCTCTATTCTGAGAAGGCTGAGAAACGCAAGATATACAACTCCGTAACAATAAGAACTGGACACAACAGGTATTACTCATATAATTCGGCAAGTAATTAATTGTACTCCTGAAAATTCGGTGTCAAAACTAAAAGAATGGTAACGTGTAAACATAAGGGAATACGTGGATCTTCTGCACATTGTTTAAAATTCCAGTACCTTTAGTGACAGTTAATGAGAATAGAAATCCAGATGAAGTTCTATTTTCTACTCTTAGGCCTCTATCTTTTATGGATATTAAGCCACACGGACAAAGTCATGACGAATTAGATTACTAAATTAATATAGAAAAAAAGACAATATATCCCCCCATAAAAATATGCCCTCAATCCGCTCCTACGTTGGATGAGGCTTCTAATTAAAACCTGCCACATTACAGAGCAATCCAGAGAAAAGATCACTTAAAATAAGAGATAATGTACAAGACTCCCTCCCTTACGGATCGTATCCAAGAAGAGTCCTTATGTTTCCTGCGAGACGTCGACGAACTGCACCTGCGGTACAGGACCGAAGATCACTGCCTCACTTTGAAAACAACTTGCGCTTCACCGCTCCTTGCCGTTCGACTGACTGACCGACCGACCGCCCTTCCGTTTCTTCCGTCACTCCTCACTGAGCACAAACGGTGAAGTGAACTCCTGGAGGGAGGAGACATGACGGCGAGTGGTGGGGACTCACATAAGTGGACTAAGTCTTGCTAGATTGAATTTTACAGAGTACTGACATTATAAAAACAAGGAGCATGAAATATCCTATCTCGCCAGAACAAATTCCTCATTCCTCATTCATCAGTGGAACGAATACACCAATTATTTGAATGCTTGTGAGGTGGGAATAAATACCTTGTACTGCGGCCACTTCTGGAAGGAATACACTAACTACCTCACAGAGATTAGTCCTTTTTGAGAAGCCAGAAGTCGCTCACACACTCAAGAAATTACCAGCTGAGGTTCGTTATTGTGTTCGCAAAAGCACGCTTCTGGTCTCAAGGACAAAACCCGGTGTATGCCTATAGAATGTTCATTTACTGAATATTAATAATTTCCTGGTACGTTAGATCATTTGATGCCATGAAAATTATGTACACATATTGTGGTATGTTGACCTGTTGCCATACAATGACCGCGAAATAAGCAACTATAAAATTAACAAAATTCAAACTCCGTGGCCTGTAGTCCGCAAGCGAACTACACCGACCGAGCGACCGCCGCTTGTCGGCGAAGTTAGTCCCAGCTTTAGCCGATAGATGGTGTCGCATGTCCAGCGCAACGAATACCAACGGCTGTTATTTTCGGTTTTCTAGACCGGAGCCACTATTTCCTTGAAATAGCTCCTCAGTCACCCTCACGAGGCTGAGTGGACACCGTTCCAGAACCACTATATTTCAGAAAATCTGGTAGCGCCGGGAAACGAACCCTTGGCTTCTGGATCTGTAGCCAGGAACTCTGACCACTAGCCCACAGAGGCAACTATACAATTGCCGTTGCTATGCAATGGTCCCGCAAACAAGTATGTTTCCGCGACAGCAAGACAATAAAGCAACAATAAACGAGACGTTTTCTACGATCAGTTAGCAGATGCAGTTAAAGGCAAATGACGGCCACTCGAACAGCACCCATCGGAAAAACCCATATGGAACCCCTCCCTCTATTCCTTGTTACCTTAACAAGAAACGTAAAAACCGAAGAAATATTCAAGTTGAATAGCCTTAACCATATTTTAATCAAGGTACGGTTATACAGAACTCAGATTGGCTACAGCTGCGAAAACTTTGGCCATGTCTGGGCCAACTGCAAGCAACCCCCTCGATGTTTGTGGTGCGGTGGTGGCCACCTGCATAAGGAATGCCCCGAAAAGACGAACACAGAATCTGCGCCGAGTTTCTGCAATGCACCCTAGTAGAAGGAGAGAAACCTCACCCAACGTCATACCGAGGCTGCAGCCATGAGAAAGGAGAACTGCAAAGGAGAACAGCACAGCGAGCTCCAGTAGAAGAAGCGAAACCTCATCCAACGCCATACCGAGGTTGCAGCCATGCGAAAGGAGAATTGCAAAGGAGAAGAGCAAAGCGAGCTCCAGAAGAAGAAGAGAAACCTCATCCAGCCCCATATCGAGGTTGTAGCTATGCGAAAGGAGAACTGCAAAGGAGAAGAGCACAGCGAGCTCCAGTAGAAGGAGAGAAACCTCATCCAGCGCCATACCGAGGTTGCAGCCTTGCGAAAGGAGAACTGCAAAGGAGAAGAGCACAGCGAGCTCCAATAGAAGGAGAGAAACATCAACCAACGCCATACCGAGGTTGCAGCCATGAGAAAGGAGAATTGCAAAGGAGAAGAGCACAGCGAGCTCCAAAGGGAGCTGGGAGGGCGTTCTTCTCTAAGTTCACCACATCGGAGCAGTCCTTTGCAGCTCTACTACGTCAAGACACGCAACACCAGAAACCACAGGCACCGCAGACATGTGGGAAAGCTTTCAGACTCTCGTACAGCAGCATGTACCAGAACAGGAAAGGCAGAGAACAAGTCTCTCAGCACAAGCTCCTAGTTCGACTAACAATGACACGTTAAAAGTAGTGCAACAGATCATGACAGATCTCACTAAAGCTATGTCAGAAAAAGAAAAAAATTATGATTACTAAAATGTAATTAACTTAATAAAACAAAATGGCTGCTAGAAATCATAGGCCGCTCAATGTAATAGCATTTAATGTAAATGGAATTTTGAGGCAGCGCTATGAGCTCAGTAAACAGCTACATATATATCTGAAACCCCATGAGAGGTGCTTCATCCCAAACAATCACGTTTATCGTACTGGCCGCATTCCAGGAAGAACAGGCATTCCTCATAACCATGCTAACCTATACTATATATACATTAATAAATTAGACAGCGAAAATGAGGAAATATCCTTACTTATCAGCCCGAGAAAATTCGCAAAGCTATTTTAGGGCCATGAAGCAGAGTAGTTGGTTGAAGCACTATGATTCAAGCCGGAAGGTTACGGGTTCTATTCCCAATGTGGTCATTGGATTTTTAAATTCTAGCCGCACTATAACCCTAGCGTCGACTTAGCCTCTAACAGAAATGAGTGCCAAGAATCTTCCTAGGGGTAAAGGGCGGCCGGCGCGTAAGGCTGACAGCCACATCGCCATCTGTGAGCCGATTGTCTAGAAAATGTGGGAGCCTCGACGTCTCACAACCCTATGGGCCTCCACGGCCTGTTGCAAGGGTAGCTTTACTTTTTTCCTTATTTACAGTGTTTATATTATTTTTTCTCTTACTGTCACAACTACTGAAATATGAGTCGAAGAACGAACTGCATGACGGCACGGAGTCGTGTACCATGTTGCCTGTGACTGATCGCCTAATTGTGGTAGCGTGTTAAATAGAAGGAAGTTAATTAAGAAACTGTATGCTATTGGTCGGCTGATCACCCGTCCAAGGAGTCTTGCTGAATGTGTAAGCCCTAGAAAAACCGAAGTAAACGGAGAAGTTCACTGGGGCTGTAGTGCCAAGGAAAAAAAAATGCTACTGGTCGCATAAGAGCGCTAAAATGAGAACTACAGCGACGTAAATTAAGAAGTGGCATGTACTGTGACATGTTCTCTCAAAATTAGTGAACCAGAAGAAACGGCCGTTGTTATGGAACGGCTCGGTAAAAACGCTTCAGCGGCAACAGATACACACGCAACAATAAATGAACGTTTTCACTTAAAATGAGAAGTGACTATACGTAGGTCCAGAGTGACATGAGTAGGTGACCGTTGAACGATACGCACTAAGATATATAGAATACAGAAAAATGTTCTGTTTTTAAGAGCCAGAAGCATCATTCTTACAAGGAAAGAACGTTATAGTGTACAAGAGACAATTTTTTTTTCTGTTTACCTGATAGATATATGAAATAATAGAAAAAGAAGGCGAAGACAAATTAAGAAATGTAGCTAGAAGAATGGGCAGATAGGACTTACTTATCTTCCCGATCGCATTAGAGATATGAGAACCCGGAAGAAGGGTTTATGTCTTCGTGTAAATGAGGAAGAAGAAGAAGAAGAAGAAGGCTGTGCCGATGATCGGTGTGTGGTTAAAACAACGGTTACTGCCAAATAGCATATTTGGTTTAATAACTCTGGTCAGTTATGACTTTATGACTTCACTTTATGACACTGTGTTTGCTGCTGAGGCTTGCATAGCGCCGAACGAGACGAAGGCTAATTATGTGCGTTTAATTTCAAAGATCATGTAAGGAGGTCGTCGTAGCTTATTACAGGAGCCACGTCCGCATTAGCTTGATATAACTGCCAAAACGACAGAAACCTCAATCAAAATTTGGATGTTAACATTAGGATTAGAACCGAAATTTCCGAGAATATTTACATCTCCCTGTGAACATTTACAAAGTTATGTTTGTATATCACGTACAACCAGAAGTGGCCGCAGTACAAGGGAACTAGTACCACCCCACTAGCAATAAAAAAATCACTTACGTAAGGGGTAATGCTGGGTGGATAGGGACGAACATTAAATTCGCTTACCTAATTTTATTCCGGCAATGCAGGGTTTTTCTCTTCTCCGCAGCGTTCAGACCGAATGTGGGGGCCACCCAGCCTCCTATCCAATGGGTACCTGGAGCACTGACGGGTGAAACGCAGAGGCATGAAACCGACCACTCAACTACATATATCTGGTGCCGAGGTCTACCTCCATACCCCACATGTTTTCATGGCATAGTGTTTAAATAATTACGCAAAGGGACAACTCTAACGCTTAGTCCCCTCCCAGTACCAAGTTGCATCGGTATCCGCTCAGTGGTTTCAAGAATAAAACATGCAACAGACAGACACGGATAAGATATTGTTTTTTTTTTGCTTCTTCTTCAAGCAACTCATTTTTCTAAGTGCAAATGTGGTATGAAACCAAGTGTAAAATTTCTTGAGGTTATTTCAGAAGCGTGAGGAATATAAGAATTCTGGTTTCATGATTATAGAACTCTACCTGAGCACTTACAGACCGTCGGGCAATGGGATATGCATACTGGCATTAAGACAGTGACTGCAACAGTGATTCCCGTCTTGCATCTAGTGACGTGAACCAGACGATACTGGCAAACTTCTAGGCACTGACTATTTCTAGTTTAAGTATCAAGCACCATTAATGGTGACTCCATGAAACACGGTACGCACAACACAGGTATATAGTTCTATTCATGTACTAGTCTACAAACCTGGATACGTCATATCATATGTAGGCAAAGTTACGGTGTGCTACACGGGAAATCCTGTAAGATGGTCATAAGCACCGTTGCTTATAATTAGCCAATTCAATGCCAAATTCCACGAAATCTTTACCTTACTTATATGTTTGAATAAGAGTGTGGTCAGAATTCCTGGTTACACATCCAGAGGTCCCGGGTTCGATTGCCCGCTCTACCAGATTTTCTGAGAAGTAGTGGGTCTGGAACGGGGTCCACTCAGCCTAGTGAGGATAATTGAGGAGCTATTTCAAGGAAATAGCGGCTACGGTCTAGAAAACCTAAATTAACGGCCGTGGGGTTTCTTTGCGCTGACCACGCGACA